CCCAGTCTTTGGGACTGATTGTAATGAGAGTCCTGCACTGGTTTCTCACACTGAGTTAAGGCAAAGAGATATGCTTGCCTTTGAGGCTGGCCACTGCCAGACTTATGACTCAATTTTTGATCATAGCCAGAGTCCTGGCCTTGTCTCTCAGAATGATCTAAGCTGGAAGCCCTATCTTGTCTCCCAGACTGACCACAGTGAGAATGCTGATCTTGTCTGTCAGTCTGACCATGGTGGGAGTCCCTGTCTTGTCTCTCATACTGATCATGGTGGCAGTCACTCTCAGACTGACGATGGTGGGAGTCCCTCTCAGACTGACCATGGCGGGAGTGACTGTCATGCCTCTGAGACTGACCATGGTGGCAGTCTCTCTCAGACTGACCATGACCAAAGTCCCTGTGTTGTCTATCAATTTGACTATGGTGGGAATCTCTGTCTTGTCCCTCATACTGGCCACAGTCTGAATCCTGATGTTGTCTCTTGGACTGATGATGCCAGGAATCCCTGTCTGGTCGGTCTGACTGATCATGATGAGAATCCTGCTTGTCTTCATCATGCCTATGCCTGTGCTGTCTCTCGCTATTTCTAGGGCTCTTATGGTCTTGTGCTCCCTCCTGCCCTTCTTCTTGCTGGTTGGCACTATCTCCACATGATCCCATATCTAGCTTATGATAGCAGGCTTGGGCCAACTGGAAGACCAACAAGAGGTATTCTTGGAAATCAACACTTCCATTTCTGTCTCGATCCAAGAGACTCAGGATGGTATCCACAGTTTCTGGGTCATTTGGTCTCTGTGAGAAGATACAAGAAAGACTCAAATCAGATATTCTCTTGTGGACAGTAAGATAAATGCAAAAGCCCATGGCCCACTCTAGGCAGCTCTATTTGGACCCTCCTTGGTTGAGAAACTAATCTGAAGGTGTGGGTTTGCTTCTAGCCCTTGAAGAGTTGATGTCCACACCATCAGAATTTTCTGGACCTATGGGAGCATCATGATATATTGTAGAGATGTCCATTTAAAATCAGCTCCATTAAACATTAGATGGAGTCACTTGAAGATGTATGTCAATCCATCACATTGTATATTATTGTAGTGGGAATACTTGTTGGGCTATAATTGGAAGGGTTAGCAGCTTCAAACCACCAGTCATTCTGTAGGAAAAGGCATTCTACTCCCATGTCATTTACCCAGAGAGACAGTTGTACCCTGTCCTAGAGGGTCACTAGAAGTTTGGATTGACTCACTGGTAGTGAGTTGAGCGTCCCTTCTCACTACCCTAGATCCTGGAGAAAGTGAATCTTGTTTATTGATCGAGGGCCTAGGCATCCCAACGATGCTCAGTGACTCTTTGTTGAAGAGATGAACGCATGGCAGGATGCGTGCACAGCTCTAAATTACAGAAATCAAGATGCAGATCTTAGGTTTCCTTCTGAGATATGATTACCAGATACTTTGAAATTATATTTCTTCCAACTCAATGTCAGATGCAAACAAGGTGGAAGTGTGCATGTGGACATGCATTCACGTATGCGCAGGCACTTGCTGGGAGAGAAGTACTAAGTAGCGCCTGCCATTCTTCAGGCTACAGGATGACGGTGAAGCAAGACCAATTACAACCAAACCTTAAGCCCTGGTAATTGTTTTGGTCACCGAGAGCAGGTTCACTCACACTTGATTCCATGAGGCCAGGGCCTACCCTGAGCCCGTCTTACCCGGAGGACATCTCCAAATTCAGCCAAGAGTAGCTGCTTCAGCTCCTTCTTGCACAGTGAGGTGCAGTCCCCATTCTCATTGGCATATTTCTGGAAGACCTTCATCACGGTGAGAATGCTGCTCAGGAGTTGAGCCATTTTGGCAAGTACTGGTAGAGCTAATGGAAGAAACATGATTGTGTGTGCATTTAGAGAGAAGATCAAGAGGTAGCACTTTCAGAGAGAACATGGCACTTCTTGGACTGAGAAATTATCTGAACAGTGATAAGAGCTCCTTTTTAATCATACCCCTCATGCCTTCTACCCCAGTGTCAAGCTCCAAATATCATAAATTATGGTGGGAGGTGGATACAAATGGTGGATTCTTTGCTAGGAAATGAACTTATTTTCTTTCAGCAAGCACACATACATAGATAAATGCACACAGACCAACACCCATCAATACCCATACTTTCATATTGGAAAAGGTTTCTCAAAGTTTATAGGAAAATGGAGGTAATGGGAAGGGATTTTTCCATAAACTGTTTGAAGTCATTTTCTCTCCGTAAGTAAACACTAAACCTGTTGACATGAAGTTGATCCCCACTTGTGGAGACCCCCTGTGTTGTAGAGTAGAATTCATCTGCATAAATTTCTTGGCTGTACAAATATATGGAAGCAGAGCACCAGGCTTTTCTGCTGAAGTCTCCTGTGTGCTCCAAGCACCAATCGTTGGTTTAGCAGTGTAGCACAGATGGTTTGTGCAATTTAGAGAGTATTGTATATGTGGGAATATCGATACATTTTTCTGTCTATATTATCTTATCTTATCTCATCTTATCTATCTATGTATCTGGATCCTGGTGGTACAGTGGCTGAAGTGCTATGCTGCTCTCCAAAAGGTCTGTCGGTTGACTCCACCAGCCATTCCTCATAAGAGCTATGTGACAGTTGACTTCCTTAATGATGGACAACATTGGAAATCCTATGGAGAAATTCTGCCCTGTCTCTAGGATTGCTATGAAATCCAGTCCATTTACGGGTCATTTTGATTTAATTTTCAATGAAAAGACCTCAGTATTCTAATGAGCCCCCTGAAGCAGAGAAGAAAACTGCAGGTCTCTTTCTAAGGATGATATCCCACAGGTTATATTCCAGGAAGTGCTTCTGGCCTGGGATGGCATTTTGGAACATGCTTATAAAATGGAATCATTGAATATAAAACCTGCTACAAATAAAATGCCAAAAGGAGTGCACAGCACAACCCACTCTGCAGGTGACAGCCAGTGTGTACCACCAGCTAGGTGCACATCGGCCACGCTAGAAGCCAGGGCGTCTTGAGATCCAGTTCCCTAGGTTATCTCCTCCCATGGGGTGAAAAGTCCAGTAACTGGGTTTCCAGGGCTCTGGAATAGAGCCCCAATGGCAGAACACTCTAGACTTCCAGAAATATTCACTGAGGCCTACACAGAATAAACAGACAAGAAGGATTGCACTGGACATGATGAGTCCTGTGTGGCGATTCCTGAGGATAAGACTTGAGTATTTTTAGGGTCCCCTAGTCTAGAGCCTTGAATATGTTGTGCTCTAAACCCATGGGTCTTGCCTAACTTGCAGAAAACATTAAAGCTCCACTATGGGATACAAAAGAGCCCCTAATATTCCTAGCTCCGGGTTTTGAGATGCCTACTACACACTAACATCACGTGTGTATATCCTTTAGGCTCAGACATTAGGCTATGTCATCGTAATCCCGGAGCACAGGCAGTGGAAGCTGGAAGGATACATGGAGCAAAGTTAGACCTCCCCAGCCCAGCACCTGACAGATGGCTCTGAAGAGCCTCATAGCCCATGTTGCTTATTCCTCCATGGATGTCTTACCTGCTGACTGAGGGAGACACTGAAGAATCAGAAACCGGAGAGGATACTGGAGACCTGAAAACCCATCCTATTTATAGCATTTTTCAAAATTGCCCTAGTAGGCCAACCCAGGAGACACCCATTTGATGGCAGAGCCTGAATCACCCTGGGCCCATCCCTGCTCAGCCCAGCTACCCTTTTCCTCAGCAAACCATCTAGTTTATTTACTTCCTCCTCTTACTCACAAACCTGTTTGTCATTAAAACAGATGACACTGCTCATATCCTAACCCCATTTAATTATAAGAATGTGCATGCGCACATGTGTGCATGGGTGTGGAGTGAGGGTCCCCAATCTGAGTTCATCTTTAATATTTATTACCTGCTCAGACCAAAAGAGTGCAACTAGTCAATGCTCATGTAGGATATTAATATGACCACCTTATGGTTGTTTGATGAGATGGGGACTAGTGATGATATGTGTATACATAAGAATATATATTCTGGAAGAGATCTTAGTCTAATTTCTGTTTGTATGTGTACATATTTGTATCTCAATCTATTGATCCATTTTGAATTGTTAATTCTTTCATTTATTAGTTCCCTAGTTGGGGGCTGTATGGTTGTCGTTTTCTGCTACTTGATTGAGATTCAGGGTGACCCATGTGTGCACAGTAGAATCACTTGACAGGTTTTTCTAGGCTATCTCCTTCTAAAGCAAATCCCCGGGTGTTTTCCCTAAGACACCTCTGTGTGAATTTGAACTCCAAGCTTTGGGCAAGGAGTCAAAAGCGTAACCATTTATGTCACCCAGACTAGAACTAGAGGTAGATCAATGGTCAACTTGGCAGTGCATGATGGTATCCTTTAAGCTCTTATTGCATAATTGCATTTTTGGAACAACATAGTAGCTTATTATCTCTGTGAAGTAGAGATGCCCTTAGGGACTGGGGCCTCCATTTATTTCCCTGTCTACCCTTGTGGACTGCCAGCACAGTGTCTTGAGCGTAGGTAATTTCTAGTAAATGTTTCAAGGGTGGGAAATGAGTTGTTAAATACTTGAAGCAATTGAGAATCTAGTGAAAGTTGAATAAAATCTTGGATTCCTAGACTTTTTTCTTCTGTTTTCAAGTCTACCACATTCCAATGAAATCTTTTGTTATGAATCGATCAACCCACTCATTAGTTTATCAATAGCGGTACTTGCTATGACTTCCTATGTAAGAAGGGTCTTGCAAAGCACAAAAGTAGAAGTAAATATTAGCGCAGTCCGAAAAAAAACAACCCAGCCCTCATCTCACACACAAAAAGTTTTGAACACCAGACAGAGCCTGCTAAAACGCTGAGTGTTAGCAAAACATAAGTGCACATGGAGATCTCGTGTGCTGAGTCATGGCTTTCCTTGAGAGATGAGACCTTTGTTGTTTCTTGAAGAATTCATAGAAACTGGGAGGCTATAGAGGAATTTCTATATGAGGCAAAAGCAAAGCGTCAAGGTAGTAAGGTGAGACTTTAGATCTAATATTTGAATTAGAGTAAACTGATAGAGTAAAGTAAACTGATAAGGTTCACTACAGCAGAGATATGAAGAAAAGAAACAGATCAACAAAACCAGTCACTGTCAAACAGATTCCACTTTATGGCCACTGCATATGCATCCGAGTAGATGTGTGCTCCAGAGAGTTTCAATGACTGATGTCCTGGCTATGTAGCACCAGCATTTTTTTCCAGAGGCAGCTCCTGACGTACATGCAAACTGCTAACCTTTCGGTCATCAGCCTTGCACGTTAGCCATTTGTACTAAGAGCTATTCAAGGTATGGAGAGGAGGATAAAAAGGGAATTTTGTACCCCTAGGGAAATCTAGTCCTCTTCTTGTTAGCTACTGTTGGTTCCAACTGAGAGTAATCTTATGTACAACAGAATGCAACACGGCCTGGTGCTGTGCCATCTTTGCAATCATTACTACTTTTGAGCTCACTATTGGGCGCTGTGTTGATCCATCTCATAGAGAGTCTCCCTCTTTTTCACTGATTTTCTACTTTGCCAAGAAGGATGGACCTTTCTAGGAATGTGTTCCTCTTGAGAACCTGTCCAGAGGACATGATACAAAATCTCACCCTCTGCACTTTCAAAGAACATTCTAGTCATATTTCTTCTAAAGCAGTTTTGTCTCATCTTAGTCTCTTACCTCCAGCTTGTCACACCTGGCTTGCTTGTGGCTGTGATGCTGAGAGGGATGTTTCTCAAATTCAAATACCACCAGAGCCACCTAAGGTTAACATTTTAGCAGAGCTTCCAGACTAAGAATACACTATGAAGAAGGAATAGGTTGCCCATTTCTGAATAAAAGCAAAACATTGTTAGATCGGAAACCTCAGAATAGCAGTGGGACAGTGTGAGTTATAGTGCCAGAAGATGGTCCCCACAGGTCTGAAGACACTCAAAACATGACTGAGGAAGCGCTGAGTTCTCAAAGTGCAGTCAGTCATAATGATGCGGATGGAGCAAAACTTTGGGATCTTCATTTGCTGATGGGGCACGACTCAGAATGAGAAGATGCTCATGGAAGCAGCACTCAATACATCAAATCACTGCTTCTTTAAAACACTGAAGAGTAGGGGGTCTTCTGAGGACTAAGGTGTGCCTGACTCATGCCACAGCCTTTTAAAGGCCTCGTATGCATGTGACGGTTGGACATTGAATATGAAAGGCTGAAGAAGAAATGCATCAGAATTATGGTGCTGGTGAAGAATACTGAAAAGTACTTGGACAGCCAGAAGAAGAAAGAAGCAGCTCTGTCTTGAGAAAGTAGGACCGGAATGCTCCTCAGAAGTCAGGATGGCCATCCTCTGTCTCCTACATATTGGACATAAGATCAGGAGAAACCGGTTCCTGGGAAAGGCCATCGTGCTTTGTAGAGCAGGGAGGGGAAAAGAGAAAGACCCTGTATGAGATGGAGTGACAGTATGGTCATAAGCAAGGGGCTCTAACCTAACAGCGATTGTGGAGACAGGCAGTGTTTGTTTAATGGTATACAGGGCCACTCTGAGTCCGAACTGACTCAATGGCACCTAACAGCAGCAGCAGTAGCAACAACAATAACAACAAGAGGCTCCTGAGTGTGCCGATGAGGAAACAGATCCAGCTATATTGAGTGATTTTCTAAGGATCCAATGCGGCTGGGATGGCATCCAGCCTGGAGCCCTCGTTCCTTGACCCACGCCTAATTAGCTTTCTTATACATCTCTAAAGCATTTGGGAGCCTGGATGGGCGCTGGGAAACTAACGGGACATTTTA